ATGGATGGATGGATGGATGGATGGATGGATGGATGGATGGATGGATGTCCTAATAAAGACTCCTGTGGGCCAAGTGGGGTCAAGTGTGTTTTCTTTTGGGAGACAGGGTCTCATGAAGACTAGGCTGGCTTCAAATTTGCTATTAATCTTAAACTTTAATACTCCTGACTCCACTCCCAGTGTGTTGGAATGACAGACATGGACCACCTAACCTAGTTTATGCCATGCTGGGAACTGAACCCAGGGATTTGTGCATGCTAGGTGAGTTCTCTACCCTGAGCTACACTCCTGATGGAGAATCTTTGCCAACCAATTATATTTAAGAGGTGGGACCAAGTTAGGGTGTGGCTTTCTGGGACCCGGGAGACAGCCCAGGGTCTCTCTCTGTGATTCCCTCGCAGCACAGCTGAGCTTGGACTTCTCGTTCCTGTTTCGTGAGTCTTCCCCTTATAATAAATAATTGTTTTATCTTTTAGCTAGTGTGGCTATTTCCCGAACAGAGCTAACTTCTACACACTCCCAGACACTTTTCCTTTTTAATGATTCCGGAGATGAACCCCAGAGTCTCACACATGTTAGATAAGCTCTCCACCACTATCCTTCTTCCCAGCCAGTGTGTTCCATTTTTAACCACTGCACCATCTCTCCAGCACCAGTATGTTCCATTTTTAATTGAGAAACTAAAGGTACAGCTTGTCGCTCACTCGATCTAAGGCATTCAGGAACTAAACAACAAAGGGTCCTATACACCCACCTCATTTGCCTGCCCCAAACATAACAGGTATGGTGAGACACACACATGTCTGTATCTTAACACTTGGGAAACTGAGGCAGGAGGATTATCTCAAATTTAAGGCCAGCCTGGGCTATATAGCAAGTTACAGGCCATTCTGAGTTACAGAGAGAGACCCTGCTTCAAAGGCTGAAAAGGAGAGGAGGAAGGGGAAGAGGAAGGGGAGGAGGAAGAGCTGAGCCTGGTGGCACAAGTCCGTTATCCTAGCTACTCAGAAGAGCGAGGAAGGAAGGAGGATTTCCAGTTCAAAGTCTAGCTAGAGAGCAAGGTCAATGTGAGCCTGGACAACTTAGTGAGACCCCGTTTCAAAACAAAAAGAATTTAAAAGGCTGAGGATAAGGCTCAGGTAGAAGGCTTGCCTCGTAATCAGGAGGCCTTGGGGTAAATCCTCTCTCTAAAAGGGGGGAAATCATACCACGCAAGAGATCTAAGGACCCAAGAATTTGTTATAGACCCCAGCTTTGGTAACAGACGACAAAATAAAATAAATTAGTGAAGCAAGAGAAAGCACCAAGTACAATACGAATTTCATCTGGTCCAGCGGAAATATCTCAGCACGCATCCAGAATACAACGACCAAAAGACAGAAAAATGAAGGAGTTACAACCACGATACCCTTGTGCTAGGGCGTGCCTCAGCCTGACTTCCACACCAGGAACCCGCGGTCCTCTCCAGTGAAGGACCACTAATATCTCTGACCTAGGGTCTCTGCTTGCTGCTTGCCCTTGAGTCCTTAGAGATTGTCCCTAATCCAGGCTGAAATCCACTGCTCTGTCCAAGTCTACTCCTTGCCTACTTAAAACCAGTAAAGCCATGGGATTTGAAGAGGAGAGAATTGTCCAACACTATCCAGACAAGAATTCTATTTTTAATTTTCATCTTTAATTAATTATTATTTTTGGAATGGATCTCATTTGTGTGGCCCAGACTGGCCTTGAACTCATAGGGATTATCGGCCTTTGCCTCTTAGGAGCTGAGATTAAAGACTCGGCCTCAGGCAAGAACTCTATAGACAAGAATTTTTGCCCCAAATGAAGTTCTTTGGATATTCCCACACAGAGGACATTACTGTGTCATTTCCTAGGAAGTGTCTTGAAGAAGGAGCAATGCCCTGAGTGATGTGGAATCAGTGGGTAGTCAGTGTCTTGGCTCATTGCTTATGGAAAACTATGTGTTTAAACCACCAAGAGGAAGAGGAGTCTCGTGGCCTTCTCAGCATCTCCTGTGCCTACATATGAACCTGTGTATAAAGGGCCAGTGTCAGAGAACTTGTGACACAAACTTGAATATTAGTGTCCGGCAGTACTGGTTCACAGCCCAGTGCTCCACTGACTGGCTGTATGGCCTGCACAAGTCACCCAACCTTTCTGAAGCCCCTCTCCCTGTGGGTAAGCAGAATTTGCCTCTCTAAATAGGCGCTAAACGAGAAGTTGGTTTTACTTCTGGTTCTGGCATCATACCCATATTGCACTCGTGGCCAGAGTGTGACGGCACACGCCTGTCATTCCAACACTCAAGAAACCGAGGCAAGTTCAGCCTGGGTGACATAGCAAGACTCTGTCACAAAACAAAGAACAGCAAAGCCTTGCCAATCTGCGCAGGGCTTGGTGGCTATCCTCGAACACAAAACCTGGCCCCACTGCTTCCGCAGAAATGAACAGCTTTTCGTTTTCGATACAGTTTGTTTCTCATGCAAACAATGGACTTGCAGAGGGGCCGGCGGCGCTAGAGCAGTGAAGCAGCTGCCGATGGTCATCTGGCTCAGAAGTCACGGTGGACAGGAGCTAAAGCCATAAAGGTCCTCTCACCCTCTCCCTGGTAGAGCATGACGTCACTCCGCTCTAGGCCCTGATTGCCTGGGTGGGTGGCCAGCTGGGCAGGCTTTCAGGAACCAACCAGTTTCGCTCTTCGCTAGAGAGGTGGGAAACTGTGTGGAGGGAGCTGGTTAACCACCTAGTGCACCTCCCACTACAGCCTTGATGCCAGAGTTAGATTCCAAACAAAATGGCACAGGTAACAGGGGAGGGCATGACACTCCGGCCGGTCTCCTAGGCTGTATGTTGAGACCCTACTTACAAAGAAAGACGTGATAAGTGGTTCATGATAACAGCTATGGCCTTTTCATAATTACACGCGGCAGATGGGATATTTGTTTATGCATTTGCAAAGGACAGATGCCAGACCTATGATGCTTAGCTGAGTATCTATCTATCTGTGTCATGGTCATCTACCACATACATGACCGTGTGACTTATGCTCCAAAGAGTCATTCACCCCTGCCAAAAAATTCTGTGACCCACCCATGCTAGGGTGGTGCGATATAAAACCATGAGCAAACGTCATTAAACATACAGAACCATGCCTGCCATGTAGTCACAGTACCATGTTGTACAATGCAACAGTCCAGATTTTCTTAAATACATTTAAGTGTGTTTATTAGTTATGCTTACATATGTTTAAGCAAACTTTTGCTAAACACAGGCATCAGTCTTATTCCAGATACAGAAGAAAGCTAAAAAAAAATATAGGTATATGTAAAGATACACCACATGTATTTCACTCATAAACTGTGCTTGTCAGCAAGACATGATAATATATGCCTGGAGGCTTAGCCATCGGGAGGCAGGAGGATTTGTAGTTCAAAGCAAATTTGGGTTATATGAAAACAGCCACAAAAATATTGCTTTTGTCTCTGCCCTTAGTCGAGCTGGAGGAGTGCCCCTGTATGGGAGGAGTTCAGCTGTAGAAATATTTATGCCCTAACAGACGCAAGAGGGTCTCTATCAAGAACACCAGTTAAAGGGGAGGCCCATCAAGAGCAAAGGGAGACTATGGAACTTCAAATCATGCACAACTACCCAGGTCTGAGATACTGAGCAAGAGGCTTGAACTTAATTAAACAGGGCCTGACAGCAGAATAGTCAGGCACAATGAAATAAATAAATAAATAAATCGCCGTTTCTTTTGCTTCGTGTCTAATGCGGTCCCTGGATACCACCTAAAATGATCCCGCTGCGGGGACGGCATCCCCTATTTTCCACACTATCCAGGAGTAGAGCAGATAGGTTAAGGTGTGTGGGCCCCCAGCCCTGGACAACGTGCCTAGACTTCTCAGGAACCGAGACTGGATGTGCTGAGATGTGTGGGCCCTGCTGCTGTGTCCCAACGACTGTGATAGGGCACAGAGGGACAGTGAGGACCGGAAAAGTTCATAGTCAAGGCTAGTCTTTTTACATAACTGTCTCTTCGACTTTTGCTGTTTTTGATTCAGAGCAATGGTGACCCGGCTGGGAGCTGCCCAGGAATTCCCGGAAAGGAGAAACTGAAAGCGGAGCTCCTCCCATGAGTTTAGGGAGACGGTCCGGGGTGAGATTTCGCTAGAAAAGATTGACTGTAATCTCAGGAAAAACTACGGGGACATGATGTAGCACACATCACACAGATTGTCCTTCCCGGGCCAGTTGCGCCAAAAGGGACGGACCCGCTGTGCATGCCAGCGCCCTAGGGAGCTCTGCACCCCACCCGAAGAGTGCGCTCGGCTCTGCCAAGGACGCGGGGCGCGTGACTCAGCGAAGGCCGGTTCAACCGCTTACTGTGTGCAAACTCTGCGCACGGTCCGGTCCCACGACTATAAAGAAAGCAGGCCGCCCGCTAGGCGTCAGCAGGACTTCCAGCAGCCTGACCGCCTCCTAGTCACTTGCTCCACAGCTCCAGCTTCACCAGCTCAGAATGGACCCCAACTGCTCCTGCTCCACAGGTAAGAGAAGCCCAGTTCTTCGTCTTTAGAATTGCCAGTCAGGATCGCAGACCGGATTCCTGCTGTCCTGGAGGATGTAGAAGAGTATTGACGGGAATAGCGCCTTCAGTTGGAGATTCATTCTAGTTAATTTAACGTCCCATTTTACAAGCACCTTCATCGATCCTTGGAGTAGGGATATTATCCGAACGACTCCTTTGTCGAGGTTGGAGGCAGTATTTAGGCGCACAAATGTCTGGCTCCTGAACACTCAAGTAGTGGGGGATATCTGGGTAGAGCCCTAGGCATTATTAACGGTATTATGACTAGGAGGTGAGGTCCTTTGTGTCTAGGAATGGAAGACACAAGCCCTGCCCTATCCCAAGAGAGATGGAGCTAGGCTCCCTGGAGTCCTGGGTTGGATTTAATGAACTGAGCTGGGCACATGGTGTTGGCCCCACAGGGACCCTGCATTTCTCTCTACTCACTGCTGTGTTTTTTCTCCTCCACAGGCAACTCCTGCACCTGCTCCAGCTCCTGTGGCTGCAAAGACTGCAAGTGCACCTCCTGCAAGAAGAGTGAGTGGGGAAGGAGAGCTGGGGTGGGGTCTATGATTTAGCGGTAACCCACACAGAGCTGGCTCTGAGAAATGTCCTTTGCTGCCCAGGGCAGTTCAACTCTTTACCAGCACTATCCCCAACAGCTCCCAGGGCCACTGCAGTAGCTCAGGCCAGTGCTGTTCTAAGACAACCCCCTTCTGCTCTTGTTGGGGAAGAAGCAGGTCTTCAGTGGGACCTGTGTGGCAGGAGCTCCTAGGACAGCAGCTCTGACCTCTTCCTCTCCTTTGTTTCCAGGCTGCTGCTCCTGCTGCCCCGTGGGCTGCTCCAAGTGTGCCCGGGGCTGCGTCTGCAAAGGGGCCTCTGACAAGTGCACGTGCTGTGCCTGATGGGAGGACAGTGCAGCAGCTCCGAGGTGTAAATAGTGTGGACCAACCCAAAGTGTTTCATACAGCTTTACCGTGTTTATAAATCTGCTTTTTTTCTATGAAATATGTGAATAAAAAGCCAATTTGATTCTAACTCTGGTTTTCTTTGTGTGACTTTGAAATAAGGAACTGTGTGATAGATGAACTTGATAGTACAGGGATCTGGTTCTGGTCCCTTTACCTCTTCACCTCCTGCTCCAAAGGAGGGGAAAGTGTCTTAGGATAAAGTTGAATTATGCCATGAGCTTCCTCTCAAAGGAAGACAGCAGCTGTGTGCCGGGTTAGGAGAGTGCAGGTGTAGATGCTCAGTATCTCACCCTCGCAACACAGAAAAGCCTCTATCATCTCTTCACCTTCTCTCTCTATTCCAGTATCAGTGCCTCACATTGTGGGGCATATGAGGGGGTACTGAGATGAACACAGGCTGACTGGCATGCTAGTCAGGGATCCTTAACACTGAGCCTCTTCATTTATTTATTCTGCTGGAGACATGTTAGAGGGTCTTTGATGACTGCTTTGACAACAGATCTCAACAAGTTTCTTAAGTTGGCCTAGAATTTTGCAGCCTAGTCTGGCTTGAATTTTTAGTTTCCCTGCCTCAGTTTCCCAAGGACTTTAGACTGTGCGTGAGGCCATATAAATGTGATGTATAATCAGGTGTGGCTCGTGCCTGTGATCCCAACATTAAGAAGTAGGAGCAGGATGGTCTGGGTTACTAGACAGCCTGAGCTACATGGGACCCTATCTCAAAATAAAAGTACTCACATAGTGGAACAACCAACTCCCAGCTGTTGGATCCTTAGAAGATCTCAATTGTCCTTTTCTCTTTGGGTGTGTGTCTGTAAGCACGTACATGTGCTTGTGTATGTGTTTATGTGTGCATGCACATGAGGTTGTGTATGTGTGTGCATGCACATGTGCTTCTGTATGAGTGTGTATGTGTACACACATGATTCTGGTGAACATGGAGGCTGAGATTGATATTGATGACATAGGGAATCTTTATCACTTTACACCCTTCTTCTTCTTCCTCTTCCTCCTTTTCCTCCTCTCCCTCCTCTTCCTCCTCCTCCTCCTCCTCATCCTCCTCCTCTTCCTCCTCCTCCTCCTCCTCCTCCTCCTCCTCCTCCTCTTCTTCTTCTTCTTCTTCTTCTTCTTCTTCTTCTTCTTCTTCTTCTTCTTTTTGAGACAGGGTTTCTCTGTGTAACCCTGGCTGTCCTTGAACTCACTGTGTAGACCAGGCTGGCCTCAAACTCAGAGATGCACTGACTTCTGCTTCCCTAGTGCTGGGATTGAAGGCCCAACCTCCCCCTGATATTTTTTGAGACAAGATCTTCAGCTTCAACTGAATTTAGACCTTGCTTTACTTCTGCCAGGATGCATAGCCAGCAAACCCTGGGGACCCTCTCTCTCCACATACCCTCAGCTCAACACTGGGGTGACAGATTGTACCACCACTCCTGGCTTTTTATGTAGGAGCTGGGGATTCAAACTGAGTTCCCCAAGGTTGAGCAGCAAGCACTTTACTCATTGAGCCATGTACCTCACGGTTATTATTTTCTATGCACCTCTAGCCTGATGTTTCTCAAATGATACTATCTGTACAAATATAAATTCCAACAGCATGAAACTCAGTTTTTGAGGCTTCAGTAGGAAAACAATAAATATATGAAGACACAGGGACTCTAACCTAACCACTCCTCACAGCTGTTCATCGAGTGACTATGTGCATACATGTGGAGCTGCACTGGCCCAGAAATCAGCAAGGAGCTCAGGGATGGAACCCAGCAGCACTAGACCACCCCCTGGGAGGGCTCCATTGCTGGGACTTGGGTGCACATTCCTTGCAAAGTCAGGATGAATTTCCTCTTTCAAATTCCAGGCGTGTGACCAGGGATTGGAGGAAGTTGCCCATGTATGTAATCTTCTGACTCTAAATGAATTGCTTTGCATCGAACCGTCCATGGACTGGGAAGGGCTCACTGGCTATAGCTTTGGGCCAAGAAGCCATGCTTTTGTATGTGCAGCATGGAAAATGTAAGACAGAGACAAATTACTGTGTCTCTCCTCTTACTGGATACAACAGAAATGAGGCCATAGATGGAGGTGGAGACAAAGACTGGCAATGTGTTAGAAGCAAGGTGACATCTGCAAACACCCCCCTCCACCTCCATCGAGTTTGCTAGGACCAGAAAAAAGAAGCTAAATGACAGCACACAGATTAGAGCTGAATGCAAAGCCCCGCCTCCCGCAGGCCACCCAGGGGCCTGCTCAGAAGGCCAGGTGCACTCTGCAAGCAGAGACTGCACCCTGGGGAAGCTTGCACTCAGCTCAGTCACACCCAGTAGTGTGATGAAGGTCACAAGTTCACCTACTCTGCTAAGAGTGCTGTGGATTTCAATGGGCCCAGTGCAAATTTGGAAGCTGCCAGACTTATTCTGTCCTAACTCACCACCCAGTGGGATCTGGGCCTTCTCAAATTGTTACTTAGGACTTCCAGCATGGTGTAAGGTACCTAGCAAGGGCCTTAGGATGCTAAGTTCCCAGTTGACACATGACCCAGCCAGAGGTTCTTAATAGTTTGTTTTTACTTTGTATGTTTGTGTGTATGTGTGTGTGTATGCACACACATGTGGTCATGTATGTGGGTTTGTTTGTTCATGCACATGTGCTGTGTGTGCATGTGTGTGTGCGTGCACATACATGTGCTTGGGTATTTGTGTGTATGTACACATACATGGGCTTGTGGTGAATGTGGAGGCCTGGGGTTGACATAGGGAATCTTCCTCGATCACTTTACAACTTACTTTATTGACATTTTTTTTTTTTAACCAAGACTGGGTTTCTCTCTGTAACATAGGAGACTGTCCTGGACTCACTCTGTAGACCAGGCTGTTTGTGAACTCACAGAGACCCATCAGCTTCTGCTTCCCTAGTGCTGGAATTAAGGGCTGTGTCACCCGTGCCTCAGCTTCTACCTTACTGCTTGAGATAAGATCTTCTGCTGAATTTAGAATTTGCTTTATTTCTACCACGGTGAATGGCCAGCAATTTTGGTTACCCACCAATCTCAACAAACCCTCAGGTCAACACTGGAGTGACAGACTTTTACCACCATTCCTGACCTTTTATGTAGGAGCTGGGGATTCAAACTCAGGTCCTCAAGATTGAGCACCAAGCACTTTACTCATTGAGCCACATACCTAACCCTACAGTTATTATTTTCTATGCACCTCAAGCCTGAAGTTTCACAAATGCTACTCTTAGTAAAATAATTAAATTCCAAGAGCATGAAACTCAGATTTTAAAGATTCCACAGGAAAACAATAAATATGAAGACACAGGGACTCTAATGTAACCGCTCCTCACAGCTGTCCATCGAGTGACTGTGTGCATACATGTGGAGCTGCACTGCACAGAGATCAGGAAGGAGCTCAGGATGGAACTCAGCAGCACTAGACAAACCCCTGGGAGGGCTCCATTGCTGGGACTGAGTGCAAGTTCCTTGCAAAGTCAGGATGAATTTCCTCTTTCAAATTCCAGCAGAATGACCAGGGATTGGAGAAAGTTGCCCACACATGTAATCACCTGACTCTAAGTGAAGTTCTTTGCGTGGACCACGGAGGGATCACCGCCTATTGTTTAGCCAGGAACACATGCCTGTCTGTCTGTTGCATGGAAAGTGGAAGACAGAGAGAGACAAAGTCCCGTGTCTGTCCTCTTTCTGGGTACAAGGAAAATGAAACCAAAGACAGGGGCAGGGACAAAGACAGGTAATGTGGTAGAAACAAGGGTGACATCAATAAACATTTCTCCAACTCACACTTGCGTCTCCAGATGAGGTAAAGAGACTTTGGGATAACTGGAGTGACCTCCATAGTGCAGGGCTGAATGTGGGAATCGTTCCCGACTAGGTTCTTGGAACTCTAAGAGGGAGGGATGCCCAGCGAATTTGCTAGAACAGGCCAACAGACTCTGGAATGACTGCACACAGATTAGAGCTGAGAGCAAAACTCCACCCTCCGCCGGCTGCTTGAGAAAGTCCACACAAAAAACACTTGCTCTGTGTGCACTCTACACTCAGAAACTGCGCTCAGAAAGAAGCTTGCACTCGGCTCAAACACACCCCTTATGCGACTGTGGGCACCAGGTCACTGCTGCTGCACAGAGGGCAGGGCCTGCAGGCCTGGAAGCTCCAGGCTCCTTCTTTCCTAAGGACACCCGGCGGGGGGGGGGGGGGGGGGGCCACAACCTCTTCTAAATGTTGCTTTGGTTTTCAGCCTGGTGTTTGATACCTGGGATGGGCCTTAGAATTCTCAGTTCAGACTGGGCCTGAGGCAGAAGAGGTCACATACTGTGTTCTGAACTGAGTGAACTCACTTTGTTGTCTGCTTGCTTTCTGGTTGAGCTACTGAAGGCTGTCTAGCTTTATTAAAGTTCAAAGACTGAGGTATAGAGTTCATATACCCCCACCCTACGCTGACCTTCTCCCCTTCCAGGACATCATTGGTCAGGTGCTGCTGGCTGCACCCAGAGGTCTGTGCATAACCGGGGTATCTTTAGGATAGAGAGAAGGCTGAGGAGGAAACTTTTGGAAAATGAAGACATCGGGTCATAAACTAAGTCGCTGTCCTGCTGGACTGACTCTTGCATGTGTGACTTTTACTTTGTTGGTTAATATGAGAGTTTGTTTGCCCTTCTGCTATGAGGGAGCAGAATAGTGGGTCCTCACTGCACGTTCTGCACAGCACAAACAGCTACAGGCCAGCTGAGATATGGGGTAATGTTTGCACATGACATTTGCACGCACATGGCGGCCTTAAGTATAAAGTGAGCAGGCAGATTCCTGGGCTTCCATAATCCCACCTAAAGCCTGATTTTGTGCTGGTTCCATTGGATCCCAACTCGTTTCCATGGGAAATGGACCCAGCTGCTCCAGTGCCACACTGGTAAAGGACTTCAGTGGACACATTTTCATATCTGAATAAAGTGGCCTCATTGTCATGTGCTGCTGGTTCTTTTTCTCTGCTAGAAGCCCATTGATGGTTCATGTTCGTTCTCTCTCTCTCTCTCTCTCTCTCTCTCTCTCTCTCTCTCTGTCTCTCTCTGTCTCTGTCTCTGTCATTAGCTTCATTACACTTTGGATGTTTTCAAGCTTCCATTCAGCTGAAATTGGTTCCTGACATTGACTGTCAATTCCATTGTGTTGACATTGGTTGACTGACATTGGCTGACAACACTGAAGACCATTCTGCTCCCACTCCAACATTTCTTCACTGTTCTTAGGTAGTAAACCAGGCAGGTCAATTGGGATGTATAGCCTAAAGTTTATATCTGTGCTTTCAGGGCAGTCAGTGCCAGGCCTTCATTAAAATGCCTCCTC